CGATCTCGACAAACCATTTCTGTATGGACCTCGCTTCTGTATGGACGTCTGCACAAGAACGAACAGTTATTGTACAGACGTTGCTTCCAGAGGAAGTTTGGAACTCGGTAGTGAGTGTTGCAACCGAGGACAGATGATTTTTACGCGCTATGCAGCACTTGGCGGTCCCGTTCTGTGAGCTTGTGTGACCTACCACTTCACGGCTGAGCCGTTGTTGCTCCTAGACGTTTCCACTTCACAATAACACCACTTACAGTTGACCGGGGCAGCTCTAGCAGGGCAGAAATTTGACTAACTGACTTGTTGGAAAGGTGGCCTCCTATGACGGTGCCACGTTGAAAGTCACTGAGCTCTTCAGTAAGGCCATTCTACTGCCAATGTTTGTCTATTGAGATTGCATGGTGGTGTGCTCGATTTTATACACCTGTCAGCAACGGGTGTGGCCGAAATAGCTGAATCCACTAATTTGAAGGGGTGTCCACATACTTTTGTATATATAGTGTATGTCAAATAGGTAGGGATGAAGTGACTAGGCAATAGAATAGATAATAAACGGGCCTCCCGAGTGGCGCAGCGGTCTAAGGCACTGCTTCACTCAGGTTATTTACCATTGAAAAAAAAATGTCTGTTCCGGTGTACTTAACTGGGTGTGTCTCCCATATGCATCAATAGAAGCTGGGCCTGGTCTACTTAGTTCATTGACTGTTATTGAACCAGCGAATAGGGTGTCTCACTTCCTCTTCCGTCTCTGCTATTACTAGTCACCACTTCCTGCTTGAGACAATGGATAACTTCCTGAGTTCTTGCCTACCACTGATGTCCTCTCTCATAGTCCTCTCCTCTCTCCCAGCAGCAGCACATGCTAATTGAGCATGTAAGACATCTGCCAACTAGATTATTCCTTCTCCTGGCTCTTGGAGAATAATGATTAATGGGGACCTGTTATTGAGAGCTCATTAGTGTCTGCAGTCCCAATGGGAACAAAGTGGGCATCTCTGGAGGATGGGGTCATGGGGTCAGAGGCTGATGTGACCTCCCAATGAGTTAATGAAAAGAGCAGGGAAGCTGGGCAGGGCTCCTCACATAACGCTTGCTGAGGAAGAATGTGGTGAACCAACATTGGGTTGAGCAGTGTGTGTTGAGCACTGTGTGTGTTGAGGTAGTGCGTGTTGAGGTAGTGCGTGTTGAGGTAGTGCGTGTTGAGGTAGTGTGTGTTGAAGTAGTGTGTGTAGAGGTAGTGTAGAGCAGTGTGTTGACTGGTATGTGTTGAGCAGTGTGTGTTGAGGTGGTGTATAGGGCAGCGTTGGGGTGGGAGGTCCTACTACTACTACTTTCACTCTCAAATGTTGAGCTCCAAATCTACCACTAGCAACCCCTATCCATAGACATCTCAAGTACATCTGAAAAGATCGGATCGTTTGAAGGAATAGCTCCACCTTTCCTCTTACCCCTTGGATACACCTATCCAATCCTCTCAGATCTAGTTCCAAGGGGTAGAGTCTAGGGGTCGATCAGGTTCTGGTGAGGTGGTGTAGGGCAGGGTTGAAGTAGGAATGGTAACAAGGGTACCTTTTCCTTTTATTCTCTCTCTCTCTCTCTCCCAAGTGACCCTGCTTGTCCTTAGAAACCAAGTGTGGGTGTGGCCTGGGATGACAATATGGCGACCCATCCTTGGTTTCTGAGGCCGTGCAGTCATACACATTTACAACCCTTCCAAGAGCTGTTGGGTAATATTTTTGTGTTATGCAATAGCAATGTTTATTTACATGTAGAAAAATGCATGTGAAAGCATTGATAAACTGACTTCAGAATAGAGATCAGCCCACCAACAGGGATACAACATTCCTGTCATAGTCAGTACTACCCAGTCAAACACACTTCCTGCACATCTCATCCATTACGTGTTTGTAAGCAATGTTTCTCAGGTGCTGCTCAGACATGACCTAATTCCAGCAGTGGAAAATAGTCCTGATGAGTTTCACATTGCCAGCCACACTCTTTGAAAAAAGACGTGAACGATTTCATTCAGTTTTTAGGAGCCAAGATGAACAGACGTGTTTCAGCAACAGCCTTAATCAGTGTTAGTTGGTTTTAGGCTATATTATGAACTTCTAACCTTGCAGCAAAGACACTGCTTCTATCCAAATAATTCAGAGTTGAGCACACCAGTCCTTAATTCTATGCAGTAAAGGCACTCTCAACCCATAAGGGATTGTTACATATGGTCTCTGCTGGGTTAGTCAAAAGAACATATTTTGGTCCCTCTATCCTTCTGCCCCCATCTCTCTCACTGCTGTTTTCTCTCCATCCGTATGTCCCTTCTGCTTCTCTTTATCTCTCCCTCCCTCTATTTCTCTCACTGTCTTGTTTCCTCTTCCTTCCTGTCCCTCTCTCCCCCTCTGCCTGTACCGGTGACTCAGTTCCATTATCCGTCTCTGTCTGTCTATGTCTAGCTACAGTCTGTCTGCTGCTCTCACCTGCTACTGATTACAGTTAACGGCTGTGCTGCTGTGTGTCTTCTGTATGGCGGCCTATAATATTTGTGCAATGATAATGACATGGCCAGCTACCAAACTCTGACAGGACCGACAACACTTCGTAGGGACATAGAACACAATTTGCTGTTTGATAGATAGTGTCTCTGTACAGCAGCACAGGGGCTCTGGTGGCTGTGTGTGTGCATGTGTGTGTGTGTGTGTGCACGGGTGTGTGTGTGTGTTGTTCTATCGGAGTTGGAGGAGCTGTATCATTCTAATGTCTGTTTGGAATTCCTGTACAGTTTGTCTTGTTGGATGGATGTTTTCCCTCCGCGCTAGGCCAGAGAGGTTCTGGAACATTGTCAGTGTGTGTGTCTGCACGTGTGTGTGAGCATGCACGTGTGTGTGTGAAAACTCACTGAGCACTTCAACAGGAGCAGATTGGCAAGCTCTCAGCCTGCTTATCTTTTATTGCCAAAGGCACATTCATGTTTTTAGAGCATTTGTATGTCTTTCAGTGCTCTCTGTTGTATTAGTCGTTTTTTTGCTGTGTGTTCTTTAGATTCCCTTTGCATAAGCTTTAGAAGTTCAAAAGGGAATTAAAAGGAGACTTCCTTATTGTCAACGTCTCAGCTGCAAGGCCTAAACAAACATTAATGACCATAATTATTATACGGTTACGGTAATAATGTGGTGTGCTTCCTGCTTTCCTCAGATAGGAAAGAGAAGAGCCACGGGCAGCGATGTGGTTAGGGAGTTAAGACTGTGCTCAGTAGTTATCTGTGTTCCAACATACACAGTGTTGCTACTGGGAGACCCTGATTTGTCATGTGGTCTCAATCTACACAAACAAAAAAGAGCCAAATGGTTGTAACACCCTGCTAACTCAGAGCTGGCTCCACTCCTTATTCTCTTTCTCTCTCTCTCGCCTCTCTCCTCTCTCTCTACTCCTCTCTACTACTGCTCTCTCTCTCTCTCTCTCTCTCTCTCTCTCTCTCTCTCTCTCCTCTCTCTCTCTCTCTCTCTCTCTTTCTCTCTCTCTCTCTCTCTCTCTCTTCTCTCTCTCTGTCTTTCTCCTCTCTTTACCTCTCTCTCTCTAGCCACGAGTTCACAGTAAATCATTAGCAAACAGACAGGGACAGAATGTCAAACGTCTTCCTCCACCATAAGATATGACCCACCAGAGGAACACTTCTCATAGGATGCTGTCAGGATTGGCCAGCGTGTGTGTGTGTGTGTGTATGTGTATGTATGTGTGTGTGTGTGTGTGTGTGTGTGTGTGTGTGTGTGTCTGTGTGCGTGTGTATGTGTGCTTGTGTATGTGTGTGTGACTGAGATTGCCTTGACAGGCATTAGCGACTTCTCACACCTCTGTCACACTTTCCGGTACTGACTGACAACAAGCTGTTGTCCCAATACACCTCATCTACAGGGACTTCAAACCACACAGAGTTTGATCAGCACACAGAAGACAACGACCTCTTGTTTGTCCCCATAGTGAGCCATGGTGGAACTCAGATCCATCTAACAACGGCTGGAGTGATTAAGCTAGAAAGCTTAAATGCTACTCCATATGCAAGTGAGGAAACAAACTATGACATTGTGCAAACATTTAACATTACTCTATGCACATTTGGGTTTGAAATGGAGCAAGCTCAAATATCTGAATGAGAAAATAACTCTCACACATGTTGATCATATTAGCTGTATATTGTGTTGAATTATATATCTTTTAAAGACATTCCTCACTGGTGATGCACAAGCTGATAGGAGTCATTATACCAGCACCAAGGAGCCTGAAGTATCAATGCAAGAGAACATGGGTAAACAACCAGGCAGCAACAAGCTGGAAACCATTAAAAAATATAAACAATAATTATAGAAAGCGAGAGAAGGAGAAGAGCATGAAAACAGTTGTCATGCCTGACTGACTCAGTCAACATCGTAATTGAATTGGAAATGCCTGTTTACATTCACATGCATGTAATGTAATGTAATGTAATGTAATGACCACAATGTAAGTACACGCATCTGTCTGTGGAGTGATGAAAAGAGTGCATTTGGTTTAACCTGTTTTACACTGGACATACAGTAAGTGACTCTGAACCTCAAAACATGAGTTTGCCAGGCTCTTCCTAACCAAAGCGTATGGCATATGTAAGCTATATTATGTAGCTAGCTAGCTTCCCCTGTTCCTTATACCTAGCTTCCAGCTACATTGGCCCCAGCAGATGAACAACAGGACTGAGGTTAGGACATGGTTTAGTTTTCTCTCTAGAAACAGAGTCATTAAAGCACTACTGGGTCTGTATTATAGATGACCCTTTGTTGGACAGCTGGGACGTCTACAAAGTGAGGGGAAGAAAATGGACTCACTGAAAGTTTGGAGAGACTTCCTTTATGCTTGAGAGAGAAATGTCTTACAAGACAGAGGGGAATGATTCAACCAAAGAAGGAGAAGCTCCAAAGCTCCACAGTTTACAATGGATTTGGGTTCAGTTTTGCTGACAGTGCAGTTTGTAGGCTGTGAATACTGAGGTTCTGTCTTTCCTTCTTTCCCCAGATGTCAACGAGTGCTTGACTGCTAACGGCGGCTGTGAGGGACATTGCTGCAACACCATTGGAAGCTTCTACTGCAAATGCCCCGAGGGCAGTCGACTGGGCCCGGACGGAAAGGCCTGTCAGGGTGAGAAAGAGGGCAAGCTGGGTCTCCTGGGTGTGTGTGGTGTGGAATCAGGCATAGGTCATCCACAAATGTCCTCTTGCAGGCTCTTCTAGGCTCTTCAGACAGAGACACATGGAGAGACAGAGACACAAAAAAGCTTAGCAGACCACACACACACAGGGAACACAATCAGTACAGGCAATTCGTAAAATCAAAACCCTGCCTATTTGTTCTGACAGAAACATGCTGAGTTAGCTGAGTTGTCTGAATTAGCTGACAGTACTAAGGCCCAGTTGCTCTGAGGGGGTGCAGGTGTCAACAGGTGCCCCTAGCCTTTGACCCCTGACACGGGGTGAGGGTTTGAGCACTGTACACCAGTGAAGAGATAAACTGAAGACATCTCAGAAATGGTGTGGGAGTCTGTAGGAGCCATGTTCCAGGGCTAGTGTGCTCTGTAACAGCTTTCAAGGGCAAATAACAGATCCTTTTTGATTCTGGAACAGAGCATGCTAGGGCTAAATGTTTCCGTCTGCGACCCTCCACATAGGATGGTGTTAATCCTCGGAGAGTGGAGGGTGGGAGTTGAAAGGTGGGGGATGGGCGGACACCTCCCCAAACAGCTGTCAGGAGGCCATTGAGACAGAAGTGCGTGTCAGCCTCTCACGCAGACCAAGCCTCTTCTGCTCAGGTCAAGACTGTCACACAATAACATTCAGACAACATTCAACCCCCAACCCAACTCCCAGTCTCAGCCTCACGTCTGAATGAAAGATGTCCTTTGTTTCCTGCTGAAATCCTCTCACACGGCGAACCTTAAGTATGTTACCCTCCAAACCTTCGCTGCATCTATTACTATTCAGGTATTGAGAAACGTCCACTAAAGAAAGAAGCCTGTCTTTTGAAAAAAAGAACAGGGTTTAGAACGATAGTTTCGGATTTTCTTCCTGAATATGTCATCCACCACAGGGGATGCTGGAAAATCCTTTATCCTCACTCAGCGAGGCAGCGGATTGGTCTAAATGGATTGGCATGTGGTTTTTCAGCCCTTCAACCTGATCACATTAATCTATGTGCCGGTTATGAAAAGGCTCCTTATACGGCAGACAGCCCTCCTCTTTGACCCCCCTTAGCCTCTTCTAGTGGATGTTACCTAATTAAAGTAGCATTTAGTTCATTATGAGGAGAGGGGCATTCCCACGAGCTGAGACTGCTGTGTTGAATAGAAATTGCCCTTAAACCCAGATCTGGAATCAGATTACCTTAGACCCAATCATAAGATTAACCATTAGGGGGGTGAAAATATGTCTGACTCTGTATCAGTGCTACTGTCATTACCAGTAGTAGCCTGCAGTGTAAAGCCCATATGGACTAGGGATTAGCAGAAACCAGGAAGTAGTTGAAACAGCTCGACTCTGATGTGTTCTCCAGATGGGTAGTAAACATTGACTTTCCTTGGAGAAGCACTCAGGCATGTTGTCTCCTCATCATGCCTCTGCTCCCTGTAACATGGAACAACATGGGACATGTGCCTAGATGTACCACATGTTAATGGTTCTGGAATGGTCTTAAACACTCAGGTCTGCTGCATAGTGGACAACCTGTGTATAAAGAGTGTCAGTGGTGAATCGTCATTACTAGGGCCAGAGGAATTCCTGATCACATGGCCTGACCAGGAAGAACTCTGTACTCCAATTTTAGGGCTATAAGTAGGGCCCATTAGTTTTTCCTAACCAGGTCACGTGGTCAGAACATACTCCTGGTCCTAGTCATTACAGTTAACAGCAAAGCGCTGTACGAGAACGTCCACTGATGAATCAAATGTGTGTCCAATTGGTGATTCAATATTAATGGTTGATTTAATTTCATCAAAATGGTGTGTTAGTCTATAAAGGGGTCAGAAACATTGTGTTCCTAAAACAGTCTTTTGCGAAGTCATCACTTCCATCACCAAGCCAACCTTCTTATTGCATCAGCGACCAACTATGCTTCACAGAGATTGATGTCAAACAAAAATGAACTTCAGTGCCGAAACCTTTTTACTGCATCCCTAAGTGTGACATGGTCATGAGTCATGACAAGCATCCCTATAACTTGGGCCTTAACACTCTCCTCTGGAACACCCATGAAAACACTGCATCCCAAATGGCATTCTATTCTCTATTTAGTGCACCACTTTTGACGAGGGCCCATAGGGCTCTCGTCAAAAGTAGTGCACTATGAAAGGAATTGGGTGTCATTCATGACGCAGACACTGTAACACACATATTAGTCTCCAAATGAATGTGGCCTGTGTGGGTTCATGTCTGTTAGAGTGCTCAAGTCACAAATGTTGTCTAAAGGTTTGTGTATTATTCCATCATTATAAAGCATTTCTTCAAACTCCATCAAAAACACCTCATTGTCCATCAATGCCCATACAGGGAATTGAATGGCACAACCTTTTCCTATCAAAAAGGATTTGTTTGTCACGACTTCCGCCGAGGCTGCCTCCCCTCCTTGTTCAGGCAGGTTTCGGCGTTCGGCGTCACCGGCTTACTAGCTACTGCCGATCCATTTATCATCACTCCATTTGTCTTGTCTTCAATCACACACACCTGGTCCTTATTATTATTATTATTTTATTTTTTTAATGTTCACCTTTATTTAACCAGGTAAACCAGTTGAGAACAAGTTCTCATTTACAACTGCGACCTGGCCAAGATAAAGCAAAGCAGTGCGGTAAAAACAACAACAACACAGAGTTACATATGGAATAAACAAAACGTACAGTCAATAACACAATAGAAAATCTATATACAGTGTGTGCAAATGTAGTAAGTTATGGAGGTAAGGCAATAAATAGGCCATAGTGCAAAATAATTACAATTATAATTTAGTATTAACACTGGAGTGATATATGTGCAGAAGATGATGTGCAAATAGAGATACTGGGGTGCAAATTAGCAAAAATAAATAACAATATGGGGATGAGGTAGTTGGGTGGTGTCACGATCGTCTTCAAAAGGAGTAGACCAATACGCAGCGTGTTGAGCGAACATGATTGACTTTATTATATTAAAGTGCAAAAACCAAAACAATAGACGATTCGTAAAGTCCACAGTAACAATGACCGTAAAGGAACAAAAACCCACCAACACAAGGTGAACACAGACAGTTTAAATATGGCTCCCAATCAGAGATAACGAGCCGACAGCTGACACTCGTTACCTCCGATTGGGAGTCATTTGACCAAACAAGGAAAACACAACCAATGACAACCCAACCAAACAAAACACAACCAAAACGAACACACCCTGGCTCAAAATACAAAGTCCCGGAGCCAGAGCGTGACAGTACCCCCCCCTAAAGGCGCGGACTGCGACCGCGCCTCAAAACCCCAAATAGGGGAGGGCTGGGTGGGTGTTGCTCCTCGGAGGCGGCTCCGGCTCCGGGCTTGACCACCACCCTACTTCAATCCCCCCGTAATGGCCCCGATCCGATCTGACCCAGCTGGCTGGATCAGGACTGACGACGCGCACCCCTGGCTTAGCGCGTGAGGCAGGAACGGACCGGACCTGGCTGACGATACGTACCCTAGGCTTGGTGCGTGGAGCCGGAACGGACCTCACCAGGCTGACGACTCGCATCCCTGGCTTGGTGCGAGTAGCAGGAATGGGCTGGACCAGGCTGACGACTCGCACCCTTGGCTTGGTGCGAGTAGCAGGAACAGGCTGGACCAGGCTGACGACTCGCACCCTTGGCTTGGTGCGAGTAGCAGGAACGGGCTGGACCAGGCCGACGACTCGCATCCCTGGTTTGGTGCGAGTTGCAGGAACGGGCTGGACCAAGCTGACGACTCGCACCCCTGGCTTGGTGCGAGTAGCAGGAATGGGTTGGACCAGGCTGGCGACTCGCACCCCTGGTTTGGTGCGAGTGGCAGGAACAGGCCGGGTCGGGCTGGCGACGCACCCCGTAGGCTCTGTGCGTGGAGCAGGGACAGGCCGGGCTGGGCTGGCGACGCACACCGTAGGTTTGGTGCGTGGAGCAGGAACAGGCCGGGCAGGGCTGGCGACGCACACCGTAGACTTGGTGCGTGGAGCAGGAACAGGCCGGGCTGGGCTGTCGACGCACACCGTAGGCTTTGTGCGTGGAGCAGGAACAGGCCGGGCTGGGCTGGCGACGCACACCGTAGGCTTTGTGCGTGGAGCAGGAACAGGCCGGGCTGGGCTGGCGACGCACACCGTAGGCTTTGTGCGTGGAGCAGGAACAGGCCGGGCTGGGCTGGCGACGCACACCGTAGGCTTTGTGCGTGGAGCAGGAACAGGCCGGGCAGGGCTGTCGACGCACACCGTAGACTTGGTGCGTGGAGCAGGAACAGGCCGGGCAGGGCTGTCGACGCACACCGTAGACTTGGTGCGTGGAGCAGGAACAGGCCGGGCAGGGCTGTCGACACACACCGTAGACTTGGTGCGAGGAGCAGGAACGGGCCGGGCAGGGCTGGCGACGCACACCGTAGGTTTGGTGCGTGGAGCAGGGACAGGCCGGACCGTACTGGGAACACACACCACTGGCTTTAAACGGGGATCAGGAACGGGCCGGACCGGACTGGCAATCCACCTCAGTCCCTCTCGCCGTGCCTCTACGACTTCCTTCCCTCCTCTCGCCAATGGCTCCCGTAACCCGGTGGCCTTCTCTCCTCTTCTCCTATTTCGCCCTGTGGCAGCCTCCTGCTGCCCAGTCGCCCATGCCGTGTGCCCCCCCCTAAAAAATTATTGGGGGTGCCTCTCCTCCGTCCGACGATGGCACTGCTGACGCCGCTGCTCCTCTCTCGCCAGGGCCTTGATCCTACCCCAAGGTCCCTTGCCCCCGAGCATGTCCTCCCAGGACCACACTTTGCCCACCTGGGCCATCGCCAGCCTCTCTATCCTTCCGGCGCTTCACCATGTCCAGTCTGCTCCGTCGGACAGCGCTGGTCGTTGAGGGTGGGTTTTGTCACGATCGTCTTCAAAGGAGTAACCATACGCAGCGGTTGGCGAACATGAACTTATTAATAAGGCAAAACAAAACAATGTGATCGAAATCCACAGTAACAATGACCGTAAGGACAAAAACCACCAAACAGGTGAAACAAATTATATGCTCCCATCAAATAGAGCCGACAGCTGAGTTATCGATTGGGAAGTCATTGACAAACAAGGAAAAACAACCATGAAACCAACCAAACAAAAACCAAAGAAACACCCTGGCCAAATACAAAGTCGGAGCAGAGGTTACAGGTGGGCTAATTACAGATGGGCTGTGTACAGGTGCAGTGATCGGTAGGCTGCTCTGACAACTGATGCTTAAAAATAGTGAGGGAGATAAGTGTCTCCAGCTTCAGAGATTTTTGCAGTTCATTCCAGTCATTTGCAGCAGAGAACTGGAAGGAATGGCGACCAAAGGTGGTGTTGGCTTTGGGGATGACCAGTGAGATATACCTGCTGTAACGCATACTACGGGTGGGTGTTGCTATGGTGACCAATGAGCTAAGATAAGGCGGGGATTTGCCTAGAAGTGATTTATAGATGACCTGGAGCCAGTGGGTTTGGCGACGAATATGTAGTGAGGGCCAGCCAACGAGAGCGTACAGGTCACAATGGTGGGTAGTATATGGGGCTTTGGTGACAAAACGGATGGCACTGTGATAGACTACATCCAATTTGCTGAGTAGAGTGTTGAAAGCTATTTTGTAAATGACATCGCCGAAGTCAAGGATCGGTAGGATAGTCCGTTTTACGAGGGCATGTTTAGCAGCATGAGTGAAGGAGGCTTTGTTGCGAAATAGGAAGCCGATTCTAGATTTAACTTTGGATTGGAGATGCGTAATGTGAGTCTGGAAGGAGAGTTTACGGTCTAACCAGACACCTAGGTATTTGTAGTTGTCCACATATTCTAAGTCAGACCCGCCGAGAGTAGTGATTCTAGTCGGGCAGGCGGGTGCAAGCAGCGTTCGATTGAAGAGCATGCATTTAGCTTTACTAGCGTTTAAGAGCAGTTGGAGGCCACGGAAGGAGTGTTGTATGGCATTGAAGCTCGTTTGGAGGTTTGTTAACACAGTGTCCAATGAAGGGCCAGATGTATACAAAATGGTGTCGTCTGCGTAGAGGTGGATCTGAGAGTCACCAGCAGCAAGAGTGACATCATTGATATACACAGAGAATAGAGTCGGCCCGAGAATTGAACCCTGTGGCACCCCCATAGAGACTGCCAGAGGTCCAGACAACAGGCCCTCCGATTTGACACATTGAACTCTATCTGAGAAGTAGTTGGTGAACCAGGCGAGGCAGTCATTTGAGAAACCAAGGCTATTTAGTCTGCCAATAAGATTGCGGTGATTGACAGAGTCAAAACCCTTGGCCAGGTCAATGAAGACGGCTGCACAGTACTGTCTATCGATCACGGTTATTATATCGTTTAGGACCTTGAGCGTGGCTGAGGTACACCCATGACCAGCTCGGAAACCAGATTGCATAGCGGAGAAGGTACGGTGGGATTTGAAATGGTCGGTGATCTGTTTGTTAATTTGGCTTTCAAATACTTTCGAAAGGCAGGGCAGGATGGATATAGGCCTGTAACAGTTTGGATCTAGAGTGTCACCCCCTTTGAAGAGGGGGATGACCGCGGCAGCATTCCAATCTCTGGGGATCTCAGATGATACGAAAGAGAGGTTGAACAGGCTGGTAATAGGTGTTGCGACAATTTCGGCGGGTCATTTTAGAAAGAAAGGGTCCAGATTGTCTAGCCAAGCTGATTTGTAGGGGTCCAGATTTTGCAGCTCTTTCAGAACATCAGCTATCTGAATTTGGGTGAAGGAGAAGCGGGGGGGCATGGGCAAGTTGCAGTGGAGGGTGCAGAACTGGTAGCCAGGGTAGGGGTAGCCAGGTGGAAAGCATGGCCAGCTGTATCAAAATGCTTGTTGACATTTTCGATTATCGTAGATTTATCGGTAGTGACAGTGTTTCTTAGCCTCAGTGCGGTGGGCAGCTGGGAGGAGGTGCTCTTTTCTCCATGGACTTTACAGTGTCCCAAAACTTTTTGGAGTTAGTGCGACAGGATGCAAGTTTCTGTTTGAAAAAGTTAGCCTTTGCTTTCCTAACTGATTGTGTATATTGGTTCCTGACTTCCCTGAAAAGTTGCATATTCCCTCATTAGTCATTGTATAAGTGTTCCCTCTGCTTCCTTGTCTGTGTGGGTGATTGTTTATTGTGGAGGTTAGTGAAGCTCGGCGGAGCCCGTGTATTTTGTATCGATGGGAGTATTTTCCTGTGTGCCTTGTATTTTCCAGTGCGCCTGTTTTGTGCCCTGGAGTGGGTTTGACGCATTTCTGCGTAAACCTGTATTTTGCGGATTAAAGCCTGTTATTCTGTGATTTACCCTCCTGCGCCTGACTCCTTCAACACCACCTCATCACATTGTTCTGCAGCACTCTTGCTTTGTGGGTGTCTGAGAATATTGTCTGCAGACCTGGGTTCAAATAGTATGTGAAATCATTCGAATACCTTTTTCAGCTTGCCTGGCTCAAGGGAACCAATGGAATACTACCAAAAGTGCGAACTCTGCCCATCTGGCACTCCATGCAGGCTCAAGCGAATGCTCAAAGTTTGAACAATTTCAAATACTTTTTGAACCCAGGTTTGATTGTCTGTCCATCTGTCTCCTCTGTAGATGTGAATGAGTGTGAGGAGCTGAATGGCGGCTGCCAGCAGACCTGTGTGAACACGGCAGGTTCCTACCACTGTGAGTGCAGTCATGGCTTCCGCATGCACACTGACGGAAGGACCTGCATTGGTGAGTATTGACCATGTGAGACCAGATTCAATCCCGGTCGTCCGCACAACTCAAGATTATGTTAGCCTTCTGAGCTAAAGCCTAGGTATTGGTTTAGGCATTGAGAGCTAATACTCCATTATTCAGGTCTCAGTCAAGGTTACTCATTACACAAGCACAGTTCACCAAACAATTCTGTAACTTACTACCTAATTTACTTTAGTAAGCTTTGCTTCTTGCCATGTTGAATGATGGTACTTTGTGGTTTGCGCCTGCGTAGCTAACAAAGCTAACATCTGGTGCTGCCTTTGAAACCCCAGGAGACTGGATAGCGATTCACACCTCCACCAAAGTGTCTCTGTTTTGTGTCTCCAACACACAGTTCCAACGTGAGAGAACACAGGACACAGACACTCTACCACACGACAACCAGTTGGTCTTTAGTGAGGGGCTCTACATCAAGAACTTGAGGCTCCATAAGGAGGACAAGAGAAGGTTTTAGATTCCCAATGTTGGATATTAGTGTTTATGTAGGTCCAACTTATTGGCACATGAACTGGACAAAAATAACATCTGTAGAAAAAAGGTAATGCCCACTCACTGTTTGCCGCTCCCACAAGTGATCTTCAATTCCTATCATCAATAAAACCTGATCAAATATCACTTGTGTGAGAGCATTAGTGTTAGTGAAGACAAAGTTCACTGTCGTCTTCAACCCTCAGTGGGTAGACTCAGGATTGGTGGGTGAGGTGGAGGGATGAGGGGGATGAGAGGGGTTACTAATTGCGTCTGCTGAAGTCATCACAGTTCAAGCAAACCATTTTCCCCCTCTGGTTTTACAGGCCGTCTATGTAATCAGGTCTGTCTTTAAGGCACCCTGAAGGCCCAGCGCTGACTTCCTTATTCAGCACAGGAGTAAATCATAAGAGGGATAAACAGGGATGGAAATATCAGTAGAACCCAACCAGGGGAACCCACTGGAGAAGCTGGAACCTGCAACCATATTTTTACTATTTCTAGTCTTTAGAGCTTTCTGTAATCACAAGTTCCCATTATGGCGGTGTGAAAAGGCGGTGCTGGTCCAACAATGTTGTAGCCCACAATATAGCTCTTCCCTCTTTGGATTCATACTTTAGTGACAGGTCTCTAGGAAGGGTTACTCGTTTACTCACCAAATGGTGATCAAAGACAACATTAGCGAAAGTACAGATGTAGGATCTTAATTTGAGCTAGTTTGCTACATTTGAATTATTATGTGGATTATAATGAATGTACATTTTTGTAGGGGTTGATATATTTTTCATTGGGGCAAATCAAGTCTGAAATGTGAAAGTGGAAATGACAAACTTTAGAAGCCTTTTTAAAACTAAAATACACTACAAGTTGGCTTTTCCAAAAGAGTGATCAAATTAAGATCCTACATCTGTAACTACCTCACCCTGCTGTCGAATACCTCTCTCCTGACAGTTGCCACATCACTTCATTTGCACACAGAAATGTTTTTCTCTAGTCTGTCAGTCTTTCATGTATGAAGTTGTTCATTTCTTGTGTCTGTCTTTCTGTCTGTCCCAACTATGAAGCTGTGAACTCCTGCTCGGTGAAGAATGGTGGCTGTGAACACAAGTGTGTGGACATGGGCAACGACCACTACAAGTGCGAGTGTCGTAGGAACTACCAGCTGAAGATGGATGGGAAGCACTGCGAGTGTGAGTCCTGACTACATTGGATATGGTGCTCTGACTTCCCTACAGCTTACAACAATAGTCACTTTATGTTAGAATGGATAGCAAAGAGTTGCATATAAAGAACAGGAGGCAGGTTTCAGTTTTCGCATGACCAGGATATGACTAAGTAAAACTGTCTCAGTGAATTGACACTGAGTTACATGAAGGTCATAAAGTCACATGCTGTGCTGACTGTGGCCTGGTCTGTCTGCCGCCTGTCTGTCTGCCCCCTGTCTGTCTGTCTGTCTGTCTGTCTGTCTGTCTGTCTGTCTGTCTGTCTGTCTGTCTGTCTGTCTGTCTGTCTGTCTGTCTGTCTGTCTGTCTGTCTGTCTGTCTGTCTGTCTGTCTGTCTGTCAGTGAGGGACCCCTGTGTGGACAGGAATGAAGGCTGTGCCCAGCTGTGTCGTTCTGTGGACGGTCAAGCAGAGTGCAGCTGCAGAACTGGGTACACACTGGCCAGAGACCACCAGGGCTGTGATGGTAAGAGCACACACACATGTACTGAATGTATGGAAATGCACTGACATGCACACATGCATGCACACACACACACACACACACACACACACACACACACACACATACACAAACTGTCGTTCTCATATTTCAATACGCTGTTACATGCAGACAATCTTCCCAGAAATGTCCTAGAGTGAAGGAGACTTTTACAAACTTGTCTATAAATCTCCACCATCCTGAACCCTCTTAAGAAAGCAAGCCTAGTTCATTAAAGCCGTCATTAAGAACTGGCCACTGAAAAACCATAGCCATCACCTCTCTCCATCTCATGAACTTTCTCACATTTTTTCACATTCGTGGAAAGCAAGATGTGAACATTGAGTTTTAACGGTGGTTTAACTGACACTCCGTTAATGTAAACGTTTGTTATTCTCCAAAAGCAGTGCGCCTGGACAAAACAAAGGTGGCATTCATCAGAGAGTTGCCTTTGTCCCGGGCCATTAGAGCTGAGGCTTTATGACCCGGGCCATGACTGGAGCTGTGCTGCCTGTGTGTGGGGGGCTAAGCTGATTAACTCAATGGCTAGAAGATACTACTATAACATGGGGGTGGCTAGAAGGCTATAGGGTTCAGGCAACTTCATTAAACACAACAGTCTCTCTTTGTTTGTATGTGTGTGTGTGTGTGTGTGTGTGTGTGTGTGTGTGTGTGTGTGTGTGTGTGTGTGTGTGTGTGTGTGTGTGTGTGTGTGTGTGTGTGTGTGTGTGTGTGTGTGTGTGTGTGTGTGTGTGTGTGTGTGTGTGTGTGTGTGTGTGTGTGTGTGTGTGTGTGTGTGTGTTTGTGTGTGTGTTTGCGGTATGCTTCATAATCAAGAGCAGCCCACCACCAGGTCTGTGCTTTAGCATTACGATGACGAAAGGTCAAGAGCAGATCACTGACCCACAAGACAAAATACAATTTCTTAACCAGAAGCCCTCGGAAACAAAGGAAGTAGTCATGTTGTTCCTAGCTTATATTTATAACCTCATTCATAGCCTCATATCAAAAAAAGTATTACTCCATGGATCCCTGTAATATAATCTCAACCTGTGCTATGTGACTGTGCCCTATTGACTTACAGTATATCATGCTATCCTTTGTAGACATAGATGAGTGCAGCTCGGGCCAGGCCATGTGTGCCCATCGCTGTGTCAACACCCTGGGCTCCTTCAGCTGTGTGTGTAACCTTGGCTTTGAGTTGGGCGCTGACGGCAAACAGTGCTACCGTGAGTACACATGATCATTTACATTTTAGTCTTTTAGCAGATGCTCTTCTTACCCAAAGCGACTTACAATCAGTAAATTCAACTAAAGCAGGCAAAATCACAGTTGCGTAGCATCAAAGTTAGGGCCAATAGTTTTTTCTGACCAAGAAGAAGTTTGGGTCCCTCATCGTAGGCTTATAACTAAGGTCAGGAGTTTGTCCTGGTCAGGTGACATGATCAGGAAAAACTCCCTGACCCTAATTGTAGTATGTTCTTGTGAAGCTAATGTGTGAAAGATGGCTAATGTTTTGGTTTGTTGCAAACAAATACTGTTGTTGGGTTCCAGCCTTCACTTCACTGGTTGTATCCTCCTATTTGCAGGTATTGAGATGGAGATAGTGAACAGCTGTGAGAAGAACAATGGAGGATGCTCCCACCACTGTGAACACACCACCAATGGACCCCTCTGCTCCTGTAACCAAGGATACCAACTGACTGAGGACAGGAAGACCTGTGTGGGTAGGTACTCTCTGTTAGGTCATCTCAGAGACCAGAGTTTTTCCTGGTCAGGTCATAAGGTAAGGAAAAACTCCTGGTTATAGTCATTCTCTGTCTCTACGATGAGTATAGAAGCAACAGATCAAACATTGGTCTTGTTCATCAAGCACCAATGTTGTTGTTTTTCTGAAACAGGTAGGGACTACTTTGACTTGAAATGTTATTTTTCAATGTGTTTCCCCTTGCGTGCCCAAATGAACAATCATATTTTGTTGTATCTCCCCAGACAGTGATGAGTGTGAGAGTGGGGAGGCGTGCTGCAGTCAGTTCTGTAAGAACTACCCAGGGGGCTATGAGTGTAGCTGCAAGGCCGGCTACAGGCTCCACGCAGATGGCTGTGACTGCAATGGTAAGAGGACAATACGTTGACCAGCATCCACTCATTATCTAGATCCAAATTGACTCTGGATTGAGTTTACATTATTTTATAAGACAGAGGTGACTGAATGTGAAGTATGATTAGTATGAAATACAGCACATTGATGTAGAGACTCTTGAATGATGATATACATGAAGGGGCACGTTTAGCCACCCATTTGACAGTGGCGGTCAAGATTGATGATTGATCTCAGAGAAGATGATTATGCATTGACAGTGTATTATAACTCATTGTACTAGTTTTGATAATGTAAATAGAATACACTTGTATAGTACCTTTTCAATCTTCAAAGTACTTCCTATTGTTCTGTGGTCTTGTCAGACATTGATGAGTGCCTGGCAGAGAGTTCTGTCTGTGAACAATACTGTGTGAACACCCTGGGGACCTACGAGTGTTTCTGCAGACTGGGCTTCCGTCTGGACCACGACCAGAGAGCCTGCATCCGTGAGTACTATTTGATCATAATATTATACTGTACTATGCTATGCTATACTATACTACTATATACTATACTATAGTATACTGTCATTTCACAGTGAATTTGTATACATTGTTTTTAAACGTGTAAAAGTAACTCTGAGAGACATTTGTGAGGTTTTCTAACAGCAGACTGTAGTAATGATACAATCACTTTAAGTATTCAGATGAATGTAATGTAAATTATAGTATAGTATAATATAATACAGTATAGTATATTTAGATGTAATGTAAATGTTCTGAGTGTCTCCTCTCCACCTGCCTGCCTGTCCCAATGCAGCGCTTTACGACAGTGACCTGGATGACGATGAAGAGGAGGATGACGCAGAGGAGGATCTGGAAGTGCACAGGTTGCCAGATCTGCTGTTCCGACGGCCCCCTCAGCTCCTGCAGTACACTGCAGCCCTTCACTCACCTTATGGTGATGATGAGGAGGAAGAGGCACAGAGAGGGGAACTCACCCTGGTCAGCCACATAGGTAGCCAATCAGTGCTTACATACATGTCTGGTTGATGCTCAATGTTATCACACATATACTCAGTCTCAGACATTGGACCTACCATATGTGGCAAAAATTGTAAATCATGCCATGGTTTTACAGGACTATGTGTGTGTGTATCAGTGTGTCTAGATGACTCCTTTGGGGATGACTGCAGTGTGAGCTGTGCTGACTGTGAGAACGGAGCACTGTGTGGTGTGGACAGAGACTTCTGTGAATGTACACCTGGATGGACTGGCGTAATCTGCAATGAGAGTAAGTCACTCTCCTCTTCTCTCCCTATCGTCTCTTATTATCACTGTAACCATTGGAAATCATCTATCACCTGACAGAGTTTCAGTGTTATTCAGAGTCTATTATTGAGCAGGCAGTTATTTGATTGGTTAGTTCTCAGGGTTAGGTATTTGAACCCAGATCTGGCCTGGAGAGTGGCCAAGTCCCCCACAGAAAGAATACAGCCCCAAGGCCAGGGATGTCCACTGTCAAACACTGGGTTAGAAGGAGGCCAGAAGCCATTGTTTCACAACCAAGCATGATTAATGAGTGTCTTTGGGCTGGACCTGAACCAGGGATATAATTATGAGTGGAATTGTGGGATAAATCCATTACGATTAGTCATTTTTATACATTTAAACATGCTCCTTTGGGCTAGTGTTCAAATTCACACCAAGAAGAGTTAGGTTATGATGAGTCCATTTTATCTGACCAGTGGGGAAGATTGAAAACATAGCAGAGAATGGCCATTTTTGTCATGTCATTAGGTTTTAATCGTTAGCTTGGGAAGAAGACAACTACAATGTTTCCATCATTAATGTTATTATACACTGAGTGTTCAAAATATTAAGAACACCTTCCTACTATTGAGTTGCACCCCTCCACCCCTTTTCCCCTCAGAACAGCCTCAATTCGTCGGGGAATGGACTCTACAAGGTGTCAAAAGCATTCCACAGGGATGCTGGCTCATGTTGACTCCAGTGCTTCCCACAGTTGTGTCAAGTTGGCCGGATGTCCTTTGGGTGGTGGATCATTCTTGATACACATGGGTAACTGTTGCGTGTGAAAAACCCAGCAGCATTGCAGTTCTTGACACAAACCAGTACGCCTGGCACCTACTACCATACCCCATTCAAAGGCACTTAAATATTGTGTATTGCCCATTCACCCTCTGAATAGCACACATACACAATCCATGTCTCAATTGTCTCAAGGCTTAAAAATCTTCTTTAACCTGTCTCCTCCCCTTCATCTACACTGATTGAAGTGGATTTAATGTAACAAGTTACATCAAAAAGGGATCATAGCTTTCACCTGGATTCACCTGGTCAGTCTGCGGAAGGCAGGTAGCCTAGCGGTTAAGAGCGATGGGCCAGGAGCTGAAAGGTTGCTGGTTCGAATTCCTGACCCGGCAAGGTGGAAAAAATCGGCATTTCTGTCCGAGAGCAAGGCAGTTAACCCCCAACAACAACTGGGCGCCGATGACATCAATTAAGGCAGCCGCCCGCATCTTTCTGTTTCAGAGGGGTTGGGTTAATTGCGGAAGACACATTTTGGTTGAATGCATTCAGTTGTGCAACTGACTAGGTATCCCCTTCCCTATGTCATGGAAAGAGCAGGTGTTCATAACGTACACTCTGTGTATATAGACATGCTATTGCATTTTGAATGACAACATTTGTTAGATATGGGAAGGCAGTGCTGTGTATGCCTGGATACAGTGTAACCAGAGAGGACTATTCTCAGAATGTGTTATGTACTGATTTTGCACTAGCCTAGCTTGCCACATTGCCACATGGCTAAAAACATTACTAATTGCTAACTGACATATTTTCCCTCAGAGATTCATAAAATAGTTGTGTACAAGAAGTGTGACATGGAATGTTGACTGGCTTTGACTGAACCCATTTAAAAGGTCCAGCTGGGTTGTGTGTGGTAATTGCGATACAAGCCGTGTCGGATTAATGTGGGAAACGCAAAAAGCTAATACTGTGGAGAAAGACCCTCATGTGGAGAAGATCATGTAAAAGCAAAGAGTTAGAATGTCTCAATCTCTCTCTCTCTCTCTCTCTCTCTCTCTCTCTCTCTCTCTCTCTCTCTCTCTCTCTCTCTCTCTCTCTCTCTCTCTCTCTCTCTCTCTCTCTCTCTCTCTCTCTCTCTCTCTCTCTCTCCCTCTCCCTCCCTCCCTCCCTCCCTCCCTCCCTCCCAGCTTGTCCTGTGGGGACCTATGGACAGTCCTGTAACACTCTGTGTCGTTGCCAGAACGGGGGCTCCTGTGAACCAGTGACCGGGAGGTGTGTTTGCCCACCGGGGGTGCAGGGCCAGCTCTGTGAGGATGGTAGGGACTGATACACACACACACACCCCAGCACTCAGCCGACTGCTCCCCCACAGGGGTCCAAACACAGCAAATGTTTTCCTTATTACTGGCACTTCAGTAGCCCACCACTCCTCTCATCTCCTCCCCACTGCATGGTTTTATGTCACTCCATGTCACAGCTCCCCCACATCCAAGTCCAGAAGCAGACCAGTCTCCTTGCCTTAAGTGGCTAATCCTATTTAGCTGACCCTGTTCATTTCACCACCCATAAGGTTAGGAACTGGCTCTGCCCTGTAGACATAGCCTGGTGCCAGATCTGTGTGTGCTGTCTCGGCAATATGATAATGACCATAGGAGTTTGCAAGACAGCACAAACAGATCGGGGACCAGGCTACTGTATACATACTGGAAGAGCAAAATCTGGTCTAACCACATGTGCAACTCTTCTGTGTCTTGTTGACATGTTGACAGGTTGCCCACAAGGATACTTTGGGAAACACTGTAGGCGGAAGTGTAACTGTCCCAACAACGGGCGCTGCCACCGTCTCTATGGAGCCTGCCTGTGTGCCCCGGGGCTGTACGGGCGCTTCTGCCACCTGCGTGAGTACCCATATGATCTACACTACAGTACCCAGCAGCCACCATGACTGACATCTTAATGTAGTACAGCAGTGTTCTTCAGCCCTCATCTTGAAGCTTTTGTTATAAGTTGATTCAACTAATTAACTAAACATCAACCACCGGTTCAGTTAAATCAGGTGTCTTAGTACTGGTCTGGAACAAAAGCATGCACTGCCTGTGTGTGTCTCTTGGACCAGATTTTAGGAACACTGCGGTAGTGACAGATTAAGAAAATGATGTCAATTCCCTTTCTGTAGCTTGGTCCCTGATCCTAGAGTTATAGTGACAGTACCTTCCCTTCTCCAGCTTGTCCCAGGTGGACCCACGGTGTCAGCTGCTCTGAGGAGTGTGACTGTGTTCTGGAACATTCCTTAATCTGCCATCCCAAGAACGGGACCTGTCTGTGTAAATCTGGCTACCACGGCTCTCAGTGTCACCAAGGTAAGCTGTTCTGGCTCAGACAATACAGTACACGGATATTGAGGTTATTGAAAAAGAAAAATGACATGGTTTGTCTGGATGATAGTGAAGCTCCTCTCCTGTGTGTATGTACAGTACCAGTCAAAGGTTTGGACACACCTACTCATTCAAGGGTTTTTCTTTATTTTTACTGTTTTTTACATTGTGGTATAATAGTGAAGACATAAAAACTATGAAATAACACATATGGAATCATGTATTAACCAAAAAAGTGTTAAACAAATCTAAATATATTTGAGATTTGAGATTTTTCAAATAGCCACCCTTTGCCTTGATGACAGCTTTGCACACTCTTGGCATTCCCTCAACCAGCTTCACCTGCAGAATGCTGTGGTAGCCATGCTGGTTAAGTGTGCCTTGAATTCTAAATAAATCACAGACAGTGTCACCAGCAAAGCACCCCCACACCATAACACCTCCTCCTTCATGCTTTACAGTGGGAACTACACATGCGGTCATCCGTTCACCCACACCGCGTCTCACAAAAACACGGCGGTTGGAACCAAAGATCTCCAATTTGGACTCCAGACCAAAGGACAAATTTCCAACGTTTCTCTTTGCTTATTTGAGCTGTTCTTACATTTTACATTTTAGTCATTTTAGCCCCCCCCCCCCACACACACAACTAATTGGTTGAAACGCATTAAGAAGGAAATCAATTCCACAAATTAGCTTTTAAGAAGGCACACCTGTTAATTGAAATGCATTCCAGGTGACTACCTCATGAAGCTGGTTGAGAGAATGCAAGAGTGTGCAAAGCTGTCATCAAGACAAAATGTGGCTATTTGAAGAATCTCAAATGTAAAATATATTTTGATTTGTTTAACACTTTTTTGGTTACTACATGATTCCATATGTGTTATTTCATAGTTTTGATGTCTTCACTATTATTCTACAATGTAAAAAAATTTAAAAATAAAGAAAAACCCTTGAATGAGTAGGTGTGTCCAAACTTTTGACTGGTAGTGTGTGTGTACATGTGTGTCTGTCTGTGTGTGTGTTTCTCTCCAGAGTGTGATCCAGGGTTCTATGGTAGTGGCTGTGGGCAGCAGTGCAACTGTCCAGTTGGGGCGACCTGTGACCCTAGGAGTGGAGAGTGCACCCGGAGGTGTCCTGCAGGGCTCCATGGGAACCTGTGTCAGCTGGGTGAGCCAACCCCCCTATGGAGGAGACTTCCCAACCACAGTGCATGTAGCTAGGGACAGGAGTGTTTCCTGGTCCATTCAGGAACAACTCCTGACCTTACCCTCATGAATGTGGAAATATTAATGGGTGTGTGTGTATGAGTGTGTATGCCTGCATGCGTGTGCGTACATGTTTGCGTATTAGTTTGCTCAATAGGCTTCAAAAGTGTTCCTCTTCTGGCAGCTTGCTCTAAAGACCAGTGGAAAGTTTCAGTGGCTTTAGTCTCTCCTTTGGTCCAGAGATATTAAAGAACGTTCAGGAGTTCTGTTTAAATCATAACTCTGTCTCCCTACAGACCGGCCAAGATAACATGGAGGGGTTATTTTAGACCTAATGCATTGTCCAGACCTCCATGAGGGTCCCTTTATTAAAGCAAACAAATCATCCATCTCTTTAGGGTTTTGTTTAGCTTTGAATTGACGTGAGGTTGTGAGAGGGGGCCATGGAACATCAGTCCACTTTGAGATCGCCTTGCTACTGCACACGATCCCAGTGAGGGAGATATACAGGAAATTAAAAAAGGTTTGTGTAACCCTTTCTCTCTGTCTCTCTCTCCCTCCATCATTCCATCCTCTGTGTATCTGCATGTAGCCTGCAGTGCTGGTCAGTTCGGGGAGAACTGCCTCCAGACGTGTGTGTGTGGAGGAGCACCCTGTGACCCCATGACAGGAGAGTGTATCTGCCCTGTTGGGAAGACAGGAAAGGCCTGTCATCAAGGTAGTTATAATGCTTCATAACTCAATTATTTACTGTTAAATATATTATTACTCATTATTATACTGTATTTATATTTCACCTAAATCTCATGCCGTTTCTTCTATATTGTCCCTCACTGTTTTTCAAATCTGGGGTGAGGATCTAAATTCAAACAGTACAGTAGTATTTGAAGACATCGGTCCACCAATCAGACCTGCTCTTCATCTGCTCTTAAACCTTTGACCTGAAGTCAGTTAAACCATGTGGTCTTGATGGTCATACATCTCAATTAGGGTTTATCCTGACCAAATGACCTGACCACCAAAACTGGTCTATAACTGGTCAATAGCTATAGGCCTGAGTTTTTCCTCCCCCCGTAGACTGCCCAGAGGGATTATGGGGGTTGAAGTGCCAGTTCCTATGTAGAGCGTGTGATAACGGAGCTTCCTGCAACAAGCAGACAGGAGTCTGTAACTGCAGCCCTGGGTACACAGGACAACTCTGCCAGACTGGTGAGTGAAACAAATAAACGACAATAGCCTTCAGTCTTGCTAAAGTAAGGGCGAAAGGAAAGAGAGAGACTGCGAGGGAGAAATACCTTATGATATACTGTGTTATATTTCACCCTGACTATTCCTCTGCTCAACAGTGTGTCCAACAGGGTCCTATGGGCCAGGCTGTGTGAGTACCTGTGTCTGTCACCCTGATGCCAGCTGTGACCCTGTCACCGGACACTGCACCTGTCCCCCGGGCCGAACAGGACACAACTGCACTAAGCGTAAGCACCACTATCACACATACACACAGGCAGATGCACACACACACACACACACACACACACACACACACACACACACACACACACACACACACACACACACACACACACACACACACACACACACACACACACACACACACAGGTTGGTAAAGAAAACGACTGTGTGTGTGTGTGTGTGTGTGTGTGTGTGTGTGTGTGTGTGTGTGTGTGTGTGTGTGTGTGTGTGTGTGTGTGTGTCTCCACAGCCTGTGAGGTGGGGTCCTGGGGCTCTGGATGCTCCAGCAGGTGCCAGTGTGCAGACCGAGCCCTGAGTTGTGATGCTGTGACTGGACGCTGTGTGTGTGAGGCTGGCTTCACTGGAAACCACTGTGAACAGAGTAAGACATTTATTTGGAAATACTGCCATCTTTAGGTAATACACTGTAACACATCTTTGGACCAGATCTGGTTCAAGCAAGTGTTCTACAGATGTAGGATCTTAATTTGATCACTCTTTTGTTGCTGAGAATGTTCCTTTACCACAGGAAATGCAGATGAGCTTTGTGATTTACATAAATTCACTGAAAACCCACACTAACACATGGTTATATTAATAGTATTTTACTTTTCTTGTAGCCTACTTTTGGCCAGCTAATAGCCTAACCATCGATCAAGCAAAATTATGGACTAAACATTAAAATCCTGTTGCTGCAGGATTATTTTGCTGTGACAATATTTTTGCGGTGACAAAAAGCATGTCCTTACAGCAGCAAATGTGTATATATTTTGGCTAGTAATATCTCTGTCTGATGTTGTCCGTGTGTCTCTCCCCTGTTCCCCCAGAGTGTGTGGAGGGCAGCTATGGTTTGGGCTGTGCCCTGGACTGTCAGTGTCAGCATGGGGCTTTGTGTGACCATGTGAGTGGAGCCTGCACCTGCTCCTCTGGATGGGCCGGAAGCTTCTGTGAGAAAAGTAAGACTTGTGAAAAAAAGTGTACTACATTTACACATCTATTCCTAAAACAGGGCCCCATTGGGCAACCTTTTATTTTACATCCTGGTATTTAGCAGGTAGTTACTTTGAAATTGTTAAAATGGCAATTACCTAACAATAGCATATTCATTACATTTTAGTTTATTTGAGATTCATTGAGACAAGCGTAGGTTTGTACACTTGAATTATTTGAGGTAAGTACCAGGAACTATCCATTGTTACCAAATAGTTAGGTAGCCTAGCGGTTAAGAGTGTTGGGCCAGTAATCAAAAGGTTGGTCACTAACCAAATGTTATCTCTCTAAAATAAAATTACCTTACAATATATTTCAAACAAAATCATGTCTGTCTTTTCACTAGCCAATGTCATGGTAAGATGAAAAAATAACAGCTATCTCTTTCACAAGATGCGTTTTTAATTAAATTCACAAAAAATTCTGGAATCAAACCCGTTCATTTATAGGGTGACAGGTAGCCTAGCAGTTAAGAGCATTGGGCCAGTAACCGAAAGGTTGCTACTTAAAATCCCAGAGCCGACTAGGTGGAAAAATCTGTCAATGTGCCCTTGAGCAAGACACTTAACCCTAATTGTGCCTGTAAGTCACTCTGGATAAGATCGTCTGTTAAATGACCTTATACCAGGCTGTAAAATAAAGCGTAACCCCTCTCTTATGGTCTCTTCTATTGGTCTAGTAATGAAAGTTCTAGTAGAGAAACCACTCAGATTTCACAAACCACCACCCAGTTATGTGACTAGTGTAACAATATACATCTAGCTATATAAACAGATCTCTACACGGAGGAGAGATTGACAATGAATCTGGTGTCAAGCTGTCCGAAGCGCTTCAATTAAATATGAGTAAGTAATAAACTTTTGTTGTGGGACATTTGTATTGGTCCCTCATAGATCGGTCTAGCTTTGGCTATTCTAGCTGTTATAGGTACTCTTTAATGATTAAGGTTTGACTGGGTTTTTTGAGATCATCATACTATCTTCTCTAGAATCTGTTTAGCCACTCACTGTGGTTTAGTTTTAAACTACCAAGGCAACTTTTCCAGTGAAAAGTCCTATGTTAGACTCTGGAGGGCGCTGGTGTATCTCTGATGGTCCTTGTGCAGATTCTCACACACAGTCCAATTACAGTAAAACAAGACCAACTATATGTGCATATTCCAGAGTAGCTGGTCTCAAGCTTGACTAGCTAATTGATTTGATTTTGATTAGGCTTTGACTGAAACGGTCTAATGCAAATTTGTGGTGTAAGATTTATGTTACCAGTGCTGTAAAATATAGCCTGCTTCATGCGTGAATCACAGTCATGTCACATTATATCATAAGATACATTAACACACACCATTCTGACCTGCAGGATTTAAAATTCCTAGCCATAACAAGCCAATGGTTTCCAACATAGACATCATAGGCATCAGCCTCAATGGAAATGACCATGGAAACTCAAATATAAATATTCTCTCTCTCTCTCTCTCTCTCTCTCTCTCTCTCTCTCTCTCTCTCTCTCTCTCTCTCTCTCTCTCTCTCTCTCTCTCTCTCTCTCTCTCTCTCTCTCTCTCTCTCTCTATGTCTCCCACTGTTCTGTTTCTAAAGTCTCCCCCCCCCCCCCAGTTTCCCCATATTGTACAGGGGCCTCTTCCTTTAGGAGCAGTAAAGAAGTGATTTCTACTAGGCAGTGAGGGCCAGAGTTTCCCCTTCCATGTCTCTATGTCTGTCTGGCTGTGTGGTCTCAGGCCTTGGTTTATAGGCTGACTAGGTTGACAGGACACAGCGCTTCAACACACAGGCAGGGATCTGGAAGTAATCCTCATTACTTCCTTAAAGGGGCAATCAGGGACTGGTTTTGGTACATCCATTTTTGGACTTTTGCATGAATGACATATAGCCATTAATTCTTGAAGAATATAACTTTTGAGCTTAGTTCAACTGTCAATATAAGTTTGTTTTACTCCATTGATTGTAAAACCACATATCAAAACATGGTTAAAACTATAATTTTGATCTATGCATGGCCAGTCCTTACATCCATGAATTTGCGAGTGGTTACATTTCTTCAGCCCCATCTGTCAGCTGTTTACCAAAATAAGTGGAGGGGCCAGTTTGTTGTTTTTCATATCCCAGATTGCCCCTTTAAAGAGCTAATTTAATCAGTGATGTAGCTAGCAGCACACTGGTGGCTGGTGGAGTTTGAGGACTCCCAGTACTCACTATAAACAGAGGCACAACAGGCACAGCACACAACTTAAACCTTCCATCGACAGTGGAAATAGCAGCACAGCCCAGGGTAATATAAAATGACACTTCACTCTGGGCATTGGCGTTTGGTGACTTCAAACCAGGATCCCAATATCTATCTATGTATTTTAAATATGTATGTAAAGGAGAATTCAGAATATAAAAAAATCCCCCTTCAAATTACAAACAGTAAAATAACCCATTTAGATTATGTGAATATTTGGTTGATGTAAACTAAGTGCATTTTGTAAATTGATAAAGATAACTGATTTACGCAATAAGGCACAAGGGGGTGTGATATATGGCCAATATACAGTGGGGGAAAAAAGTATTTAGTCAGCCACCAATTGTGCATGTTCTCCCACTTAAAAAGATGAGAGAGGCCTGTAATTTTCATCATAGGTACACGTCAACTATGACAGACAAAATGAGAAAGAAAATCCAGAAAATCACATATATACCCTTTGTTGGCAATGACACAGGTCAAATGTTTTCTGTAAGTCTTCACAAGGTTTTCACACACTGTTTCTGGTATTTTGGCCCATTCCTCCATGCAGATCTCCTCTAGAGCAGTGATGTTTTGGGGCTGTCGCTGGGCAACACGGACTTTCAACTCCCTCCAAAGATTTTCTATGGGGTTGAGATCTGGAGACTGGCTAGGCCACTCCAGGACCTTGAAATGCTTCTTACGAAGCCACTCCTTCGTTGCCCGGGCGGTGTGTTTGGGATCATTGTCATGAAAGACCCAGCCACGTTTCATCTTCAATGCCCTTGCTGATGGAAGGAGGTTTTCGCTCAAAATCTCACGATACATGGCCCCATTCATTCTTTCCTTTACACGGATCAGTCGTCCTGGTCCCTTTGCAGAAAAACAGCCCCAAAGCATGATGTTTCCACACCCATGCTTCACAGTAGGTATGGTGTTCTTTGGATGCAACTCAGCATTCTTTGTCCTCCAAACACGACGAGTTGACTTTTTACCAAAAAGTTATATTTTGGTTTCATCTGACCATATGACATTCTCCCAATCCTCTTCTGGATCATCCAAATGCACTCTAGCAAACTTCAGACGGGCCTGGACATGTACTGGCTTAAGCAGGGGGACATGTCTGGCACTGCAGGATTTGAGTCCCTGGCGGCGTAGTGTGCTACTGATGGTAGGCTTTGTTACTTTGGTCCCAGCTCTCTGCAGGTCATTCACTAGGTCCCCCCGTGTGGTTCTGGGATTTTTGCTCACCGTTCTTGTGATCATTTTGACCCCACGGGGTGAGATCTTGCGTGGAGCCCCAGATCGAGGGAGATTATCAGTGGTCTTGTATGACTTCCATTTCCTAATAATTGCTCCCACAGTTGATTTCTTCAAACCAAGCTGCTTACCTATTGCAGATTCAGTCTTCCCAGCCTGGTGCAGGTCTACAATTTTGTTTCTGGTGTCCTTTGACAGCTCTTTGGTCTTGGCCATAGTGGAGTTTGGAGTGTGACTGTTTGAGGTTATGGACAGGTGTTTTTATACTGATAACAAGTTCAAACAGGTGCCATTAATACAGGTAACGAGTGGAGGACAGAGGAGCCTCTTAAAGAAGAAGTTACAGGTCTGTGAGAGCCAGAAATATTGCTTGTTTGTAGGTTGACCAAATACTTATTTTCCACCATAATTTGCAAATAAATTCATAAAAAATCCTACAATGTGATTTTCTGGAGAAAAAAAATCTCAATTTGTCTGTCATAGTTGACGTGTACCTATGATGAAAATTACAGGCCTCTCTCATCTTTTTAAGTGGGAGAACTTGCACAATTGGTGGCTGACTAAATACTTTTTTCCCCACTGTACCATGGCTAAGGGCTGTTCTTAGGCATGACGCAAAGCGTCGTGCCCGGATACAGCCCTTAGCCATGGTATATTGGCCATATACCACAAACCCCCGAGTATAAACTCATTACCAACGTAATTGGAGCCGTAAAAATAAATGTTTTGTCATACCTGTGCTATACGGTCTGATATACCACGGCTGTCAGGCAATCAGCATTCAGGGCTCGAACAACCCAGTTTATAAAACCCTATAATCCTATAACTGTGTTGGCGGAAGATTACAGAGGTCACCAAATTACTAGAGGTCTGCTGGTCAGACAAAATGGGCTGTGGTGGATGTCATGGTGAAATGTACCTAATCAACTCACACCCTGGCATCAAACATGACATCAGTCTGGCATCTCTGTATCTCTGCCAGCAGCTCAAGGACTAGAGCCATCTGATCAGTTGTTGACCAAATACCACCAGTACTGTGCTACCATCACAAAATGAAACAGTACACTGTATCTCTATGGCCACTACCACCACAGACACACAGCACCACAGACACACAGCACCACAGACACACAGCACCACTGAGACAGCACCAGGGTTGTAGTGCTGCCGGAGCACGGGGGAGCAGCGCTCCATCACTTTTTTCAATTTGAGATTACACAGAGCTGGTAAAAATATTTCTGGAAAATTAATTATGATACATTTGAAATAAATTATATTTAATTACCACACCAATTCCATGGAAAACAATAGAATGGCAAACCAAATAAATATGTATAGCAGCGTAGAGGTATCCAACTCGCTGAATGCGCCGCTGAACTGCAGAAAACAAGTGGCAAAAGTAGGGTGAGTATTGGGAAGCTCTTTCCTGGTCCATCATGCTCTGTGCTCACTCGCTCACTTTGAGAGGGCCGAATCCGACGTAAGGGATGGATCGACCATTTACAGAATGGGTACCTGGAGGAAAATGGGGGAGGGTCATGCTTGATACATTTCAGTCAAGGGGAGGGTTTAATATCTTTT